TGTGTTTAGTAAAGATACTTTTATCTATCTTGGATGCATGCATGATTGTTTCTTTCTTGATTTTTTAATTGCTTGCTTGCAGAACAATATCGGTCTCACGAGAACAAATGGTATTTTCTGACTTCTCGGGATCGAAAGTACCCTAAAGGGAATCGACCTGATAGAGCAGTTCCCGGAAAACAAGGGTGCTGGAGGACTACTGATAAACATAAGCCGGTGTATGATGCTACGTCTGGACAAATGATTGGCAACAAGGGAACTCTTGCGTATTATGAAAACAACATGACCAAAACTATGTGGGTAATGCATGAATATACAATCAACCGACCCAATCTTCCTTCTGAAAACGGAGACAAGGTATGTAGAAATTAATTGTAAGAAATTTATGTTGTTCTTATTATATAAATTATAAGCCATAATTCACATTAATTGTTGTATGCTTATGTAATATCTGGTGTTCTTGTAGTTGAGCGAATGGGTGCTGTGCAAGATTTACAAGAGGGTGATGGAAGAACCCAAGATACCTTTGCGCAAGAGACGACGAGTATCAGAAAACGATTCTGATAGTGCTTCAAGTTCTGTTTCAAATGAACCACCTGCCTCCTCCGCACAACCACTTGATGATGGTGCCTACACAACGGCTACTACTGAGCATGGATTAATTTCCATACAGCCAATGCAAATCAGAGAGTTATGCTATCACACAAATATGCTTTCACTGAGTACTCCATCCGACGGTTTTCTGTTTTCAAATGGTGCTTTGAATTCTTCTTCTATGGAACCACTAATTGATTACATTGACTATCCACCGGTCTTGGTTCAAAATTCTTGTGAAGATGCGCCAACCCAACTCGACGTGCAAAATATTTGTGATCAAAATGATGCTGCTGACGATTTTCATGTTCATGATGATAGTAACGAGACAACTATATCAGCTCCTGTTGAAGAAGCTGAATGGAGCTTCAAAAGTCCTGACAGTTATTCAGATCAATCCATGGTGGTGCCTCAAGATGATGCTGCCGGACATCCTAAAACCCAACTCAATGTGCAAACTTATTCGAATCATCACATGGTGGACATGCCTCACGACGATGCTGCTGATCACCATATCCCTCAGCCAGATGGTAATTTCAATGCAAATATATGGCCTCTTGATGATGCAGATAAATTGATCTTGAATACCGTTTCGTTCGATTTTAAACGAATCCGTTTAATGTAGTCCGAGTCTACTGGATATTGATCAATGAAATTATACGCTATAAGATGTAATTTTATCATTCCTTATATCATTCTAGAGGTAAATACAAAGTATCAAAATAGTAACATATTAATTCTACAATCTTATAACTAAAGTAATATAGTTTTTTGGTTAATTAGATTCCTTTTATTATTCAAGAACTTATAAGAGAATAACAATAATTTCTTGTTGCTAGCAAAATGATAATGAAAATGTAGGCATCTAATATGGTGATCAACCTTTAGATAGAGATAACCAAATAAATTGGTACATCATTCTTGAGATTTGGGTGTAATATTTAGTATTGAGATAGACAAACCCAGCGGTATCAGGTGGTGCCCTCCCTTCTTGTATTTTCCGGTTCAAAAAAAAAAGTAATTTATTATAAACCATAAAAACCAAAATACAAAGTAAAAAAAAATTAAAAAAAAAAAAAAAGTTAACTACTATTACAAAGAATAAAAACTAATCGTTATCACAGGTGACTTCTCTCTCAATGAGATGGTGTTTACTCTCTTGATAACATGCAACATGTGGTCTTTTCATTGGGTGGAAGTTAATTACTCTCGTGATCCTTTAATTAATGTGATAAATAGCCGTTGTCCCTCATAAATTCTCACAAATATCTTTCAAACATACGGAAATCTTTTAAAAAAAAAAAAAAAAAAAAAAAAATCCGTAAGAGTTTAATTTTATTTAGTCAAAAGTTATTCCTCGTTTATTTTTTATTATTTTTTTCTATTAAGCCCAAAAAAATGATAAACACTTGCAAAATAACTCTTGTATGTTATTAAGTCGAGTCACGTATAATACGTTTTTTATTATCCGAACTACCGTCCGTTAACTTAAAACAATCCTACTTACATATTTTTGTATATATGTCGGTATACATTCCTGTTTCTTTATGTTTTCATACTTATTTTTATGTATGTTTCATTCGATGGTATATATATTGAAGTTAATCTGTGGTATCGACCTTGTATATTATCTACCAACAAATACAACGGTACCTAACTTTTATCAATTCAATCGTCAAAATTCAACTTTTAAAACGGATTGGCGCCGCTGAAACCACTACATGAATCTACCATGTACCGACATTTTTTTAACCTTACGCCGACGACAAGTCGTCGGGATAGCCTATGTCGGCGACACGTCGTCGGCATAGCCTAGTCAACATATATGGAAAAAGTCGTCGGCATAGATGTCGTCGGGATAGCTGCCCCCAATAACATTTCATCTGCACAAGGTCTGTCGTGACAGATTTTCATAAAAGAAGTTTTATTATTTACTTGTATCGACGACACGTCATTGCCATAGGTCAACGCTATACTGACGACATGTCGTCAAGACAGGTGGACCTTATAGTGACGACATGCCTTTGGCACAAGTTTGTAACCGTTTTTACCGTTTGAGATATAGTGACGACATATCCTTGGTATAGGTCAAATCGTTTTTACAGTTAAGGCCTATAATGACGACATGTCGTCGGTATAACTTTTGTATTTTTTTTTGAGAACCTATAACGAAGACAATCAGGGTAGACTCGGTATTGAGCTCCTCAAACAAAGCATCAAATTTCGGTTCTATATATCGTCCCTCCTCATCTATATTTTCTTCATTGTATTTTGTTTCGTCATAACATCATCAATTACATCAAACATCATATTAGTTGTTGGAGTGTTTATTGGAGTGTTTATTCTTGGAGTCGAATTGTAGACTAAATCTAAAACAACTTGTTTATCACCGTTATGATCCCACATAGTTTACATTTCTAGAAACCCACGTTCATGTATGTGGGCACAAACCGTAAGCAACAACTATCGATACATATTCACACTTTTTGCATGGGCAACACACATTGCCTTCAAAGTTAACACGTTTCTCAACAATCTTCATAAAGTTATTAAAACCTTCCAAGAATTTTGAAGACATTCGGTTAATCTCACTAATCAAAGACAAAACTAAATAAAGCTAGAACCCTTACCTGATCTTCATACTATTTTGGTGCCCGAATTCCAGTAGTCGGGTGTAGACGGTGGTCCTCGATCCGGTGGTGGCTGTTGGTCACCAGAAAAAACCCCAAATCAGAAAAAAGAACTTGAAAAATAAAAAACCGTACCTGTAACTCCAACTGTAGTTGCTAGAAGTTAGTGGTTGTTGGGACTTGGTGTCGTCGTCGGTGGTCCCATGGCGATTGCCTTACCGGGAAACAAAGCAAAAAAAAAAGGGACCGGAAAAACGGTGAAATCGGAAAAGAGGAGGGACCTAGAAGATTCATGAGGTCGGCAGGGAGTGGCCGGAGGGGTCGCCGGTGGAAAATCGTCGTTCGAGAGATCGAGAGCGAATGATTTGGGTGTGAACCTGCAAATGAGGGTCGAGTGGACTGTTCATCGATTTTAAACCCTGACGACATGTCGCCGGTTTAAGTAAACGACGTCGTTCTTTTTTTTCACGCAAATAAAATAAATAAAACATTTGCGCCAACGACATGTCGTCGGGAAGGAGTAGACATGGATCGTCTGCTCTCTGTATCAACGTTGTGTCGTTGGGATAACTTTCTAAAAACGACATTGTTTTCTTTTTTTCGCAACATGAGTTATATATAAATAGAAATTATATTTTCGTAACCTATACCAACGACATGTCGACGGCATAAGTTTATAGAAAACCACGTACGTAAAACCAATTTTGTTTCCACCTAAGCTATGGCAACGACAAATCGTCGGCATAGATATCCCGGTGAAACAAATGCCGTCGGTATAGTTTACGTTGTAACGACGACGATTGTCGTTGGCACGGTGGGTTTTTTTGTAGTGCATGCGCATGGGGAAAATCCTATAGAATTATAAGAGTAAAGACAAGTTACATTGATTAAATATTTTTTACACAATTTAGGAAAAAAAAAGTTTCGTACAACCAAAGGTAGATTATAGTTTTTGTTATATAATTTTTTCACAATATACCCACAAAAGAAGCAACTTTTAACTGAATAAACCGAAAATCCCATTCGATTATTAAAAATAGAAAGACTGCATAAAGTTGGCGAATCTTTCGCGTCAATCAAAAGAGGATAAATATTTCCTTTTGTTCCTCTTGACACCACTATATAAATAAACTTGCCCACTACTCATACTCACCGGCTTCATTCTGATTTTCACACCGGTACTTGTGCTTAATTCCATCGATCTCAAATTCAATGGACGCTGCCCTGAATTTTGCAGATCAGCTTCCCTCCTACTATTGATTCTGTCCCACAGATTCGGAGCTCATCCTAGACTGCTTGAAAGCCAAGCTCGAATCAAGAGAGCCCCCCCAAATGCCGGTTACACGAGGTCAATATTTACAACCACACGCCGGAACAGCTTGCAGGTTAGTTAGTGATTAATTTATTAAAGATACGTACATGCATGATTCATCTTGAATATAATTAAGATTGTTAATATATTTCTTGTTTTTTCTGATTCTAAACAATTAACACCTGCATGTGTTTAGTATAGATACATTTATCTATCTTGGATGCATGCATGACGGCTTCTTTCTTGATTGTTTGTCTGTTATGATGCTAAACTCTTGAGTTTTAATTGCTTGCTTGCAGAACAATATCGGTCTTACGAGAACAAATGGTATTTTCTGACTTCTCGGGATCGAAAGTACCCTAAAGGGGATCGACCTGATAGGTGATAGGTCAGTACTCGGAAAACTTGGGTGCTGGAAGATTACTCAAAAACATAAGCCAGTGTATGATGCCACGTCTAGACAAATGGTTGGCCACAAAGGAGCTCTTGCGTATTTTGAGAATGACACCAAAACTATGTGGCTAATGCATGAATATACAATCAACGGACCCAATCTTCCTTTCGAAAACGGAGACAAGGTATGTAGAAATTAATTGTAAGAAATTACTATGTTGTTATTAATTATTATATAAAGTATAAGTAAGATTGCTATAATCCTCAATGTTGTATGCTGAAGTAATATCTGGTTTCCTTGTAGTTGAACGAATGGGTGTTGTGCAAGATTTACAAGACGGTGAGGATCAAGAAGTTAGGAAATCCAAAGGAGGTGATGGAAGAACCAAACGTACCTTTGCCCAAGAGACAATGAGTATCAGAAAACAATGAAATCAATATTTCAAAGAATCACCACCACCCTGAACAAGTTCCAAACTTGATTGTCATACATGGACTTAATCTTGATGTCCATTGCTTCTTTCCATTTGGCAGACTCAGGGTCCGCCATGGCTTCTTTGTAGTTAGAAGGCTCATCCAGATTTATCAGTGTACTATCACTGATAAACGTATCACCATCTGTAGTTATATGGAATACATAAAACTCAGGTGTCATTCTAACTCGAGTGGAACGCCTAAGAGGTAATGACTCGTCAATGGGCTCAACAGGAATTTCTTCCTCAGGTTGAGTGCTAGTGTTAGAGGTTCCTTCATCGCTTGACTCTTGAATTTCTTCAAGATCAATTGTGCTCCCACTGTCCTATTTGCATATGAGTTCTCTCTCGCGAAAGACTCCTCTTCGTGCTACGAAGACCACGTTTTCACTAGGTCTGTAGAACAAGTATCCGAAGGAATTTTGTTGGTAGTCGATGAAAATACATCGCTCACTTCGAGGTTCAAGCTTGTTGTGAGTCTCTCGTACGGATAACTATCCCCTGTACCGACAACATTTCATCTGCACAAGGTCTCTCGGGACGGATTTTCATAAAAAAAAAGTTTTATTATTTACTTGTATCGATGACATGTCATTGCCATAGGTCAACGCTATACCGACGATATGTCGTCAAGACAGGTGGACCTTATAGTGACGATATATCGTTGGTATAGGTCAAATCGATTTTACAATTAAGGCCTATAATGACGACATGTCGTCGGTATAACTTTTGTATTTTTTTTTTTGAAAACCTATAACAAAGACGATCAGGGTAGACTCGGTATTGAGCTCCTCAAACAAAGCATCAAATTTCGGTTCTATACATCGTCCCTCCTCATCTATATTTTCTTCGTTTGTATTTTGTTTCGTCATAACATCATCAATTACATCAAACATCATATTAGTTGTTGGAGTGTTTATTCTTGGAGTCGAATTGTAGACTAAATCTAAAACAACTTGTTTATCACCGTTATGATCCCACATAGTATACAATTCTAGAAACCTACGTTCATGTATGTGGGCACAAACCGTAAGCAACAACTATCGATACATATTCACACTTTTTGCACGAGCAACACACATTGGCTGTAACACTCGTTTTCAGATTTGCCTCGTTGCTTAGGGTTGCGGCCCAATCATCAGTTGTCATGGGGGTTAGGAGCTTTGGGCAAGGAAGGATTTATCCCATATCGGATGTAGTTTCCAGGGTCTAAGTGAACCATGTATTCGATTATGTCTTCGGAAGCCAAGGGTATGACTGTAAATTGATATCTCGGTCTTTTAATGGTTTTGGGTTTCAATCAGAAGGTTGTAAGGCACGGGGGTATTGCTAGGAGTGTAGAGCTTCTCGCCACCTTTTCGTGGATATAAGGTTCGTTGGAAACTGACTTAGGACGAGTGAGTTATGACACTTTGAAGGTTTTGGCAGAATTAGCCCCTAATGGAAAGATGTGGCGGATCAGTCCCATGCATGCAAGGATTTGCATGCGCATGTTTAGCTGGGTACGCCCAGCGTATAAGAGTAAATGATCGCGGGTGGTTCACGAGTACGCGGGGCTTACTCCATCCAGACCAAAATCCTAATTTCTCCAACTTGTACCCTATATAAGCAACATTATAGCACTCCTTAGGTCATTCAAGTCAGCCACCACCCCGTTTCACGTCCATGAAACCCTAAATTGCCTTAGATGGATCTTGGAGCTTAAAAGAAGACTTGTTAGTGTGTGTACAAGAAGAGGAAGGTGGTGTTCAAGTGTTGATCATGGAAGGGAGCTTGTAGATCCAGAAAGTTCTCATATTTTGCAACCTATTGGAGGTAAAAAGCTCTGATCTTGACTTTCCATTTCATAGATCCTCTTTTGGATTGGTTTTTGGCCATTTTTAGCCTTTTGCTTGGTCTTGGTGAGCTAGGGTCATTTTAGGGACTCAAACTTGTAGATCTGGACATTCTAAGGTCCCCTCTCTCATAAAGGTGCAAGCTTTGCGAAGTGTTTGAGTCTAAGCATGAGTTAAGACCATCCATTAAGCTCTTTTGAGCTTTAGAGTCCCATTAAGCCATGCATGTTAGTAAAGTTGCCAACTTTACTTGAAAAGTCACCTATAGAAGTCATACTGGAGAGTTGGAGCAAGGGATGAAGTGATTAAGTGCTTATTTGGAGAGGGTTGGACTTCAGAGGAGTACGTTGGGCGTACCCACCTGGTACGCGACGCGTACTAGACCCAACAGGTGTACGCTTAGCGTACCAGATGAGTACATAGGGCGTACTCGGTCTCGTTGCCTCACTTTGTTTTGTTGACCTTTTGGGCCTTGGACCATAGACCAGGAGTTGGTTGGGGTAGCCCATTTAATATTTTAGGCCTTTTTGGATATTGGGCCTTCTTGGGTAGGTCCATGATGGATTTGGGCCTTATTGGGCCTTATGGGCCATTTCAGATTCGGGCTTTCTTATGGGTTTGTAAGTACATGGATTTTGTTGGGCTAGCTATGGACATGTATAATGATTCAGAAAAAGTAAACGGGCTTTAGGGAAAGGCCCATGTAAGGGTTTGGGCCAAAATTGGAAAATTGGGCCATTAGTGGGCCTTTATGGATTTTGGAGTTTTGGACTTGATTGGTTTTAGACTTGGGCCTTAGTTAAGTATCTTGTGGGCTAGGGGTAAAATGGTCATTTTACCTCAAGTGTGGATTATGGATCATGGTATAGAACCCAATTGCTAATTGGGTGATATTTTGGTATTGATAGCTCGAGGAGTGCCAGGACAGCAGCTAAGGATTTCTTGCAGTGAACTCCAGCAGTATGAGGTGACTTACCTTGCAGTAGAAGCGGGTCTATGACACCAATGTCGGCCCACTAGTAGGAGATTATAGTATAGATGTCTTTTTGATAATTGTCTGGTATGTCACTATCTGTTATGATTTATGTGCTAGTATGCTATGATATTATGTGATAATGGTAGGAGGGGTAGGACAGACCTCGTTACCGGTCGAAAGGACCGAAGGGGTAGGCCAGAACCCTAATATGCTAGGAAGTATGTGACTTATGTGTTTATGTACTAGAATGATATATGGTAGTATTAGGGGGTGAAATAGTCCCCGTTACCGGTTGAAAGAGACCGAAGGGGTAGGCCAGCACCCTGATATGCTAGGCAGTTACCGTTTGAAAGAGACCGAAGGGGTAGGCCAGCACCCGGATATGCTAGGCAGTATGTGTATTGTATGGTATGTGGTATGATGGGGGAACTCACTAAGCTTCGTGCTTACGGTTTTCAGTTTTGGTTTCAGGTACTTCTTTTTCAAAAGGAACGGAGCCGGCAGGAGCGCAGCGCATCACACTACGATTTTCCGCATATGAGATCTTTGGGAATTGTACTCTGATAATACTTTTCTATGACATATTTTAGTTATTTGAAATCCTGGTTTTTGATTATGAAATGAGTTAACACTATGGATGTTTCAGACAAACGGTTTTATGATTACTTATTTAAAAATGAAATTTTTAGTCATGAATTTTGGGACGTTACAAGTTGGTATCAGAGCCTTGGTTTGAGGGATTCGGACACACCTTCGGGGGTGTCTGAACTCAAATCGAGGGTTTGAAATTTTTTTACAAGAAATTAATTTTTCTAAAATTTAAATAAAGAGTTTTTGATAAAGAACAAGGAGCGTGATGCGTGCAATCAGCCGAGCTCAAGTAAGTTTTCCCCAAGATACCCATACATGTTATGTTATGATATGGTATGATTATGAGAACTGCATGCTAGATTAGGGTTGAGGATCTAGGAAGGATGCCTTATATTCCTATTGTATGTTTATGAGAACTGCATGCTGGATTAGGGCTAAGGATCTAGGAAGATGTCTTATGTGCTTGCTATATGTGCTTATTGAATTACATGCTAGTACTGATTAGTCAGTGATATTATGGCCTGATTAGGATATGCTTTGTTTTGGTTGCTCAATGCCCGAATGATGTCTGCTTTGTGCTTTTAGGAGTTCTAGTTATCTTTAGCTAACTAGTAAACAAATATGTTAAGTTACATATTACGAGGACTAAATAATTTCATAAGGTTAAGTTTAGCCCTATTTCACAGCTCTTGTTTGAGTCTAACCGTTGTAGAGAGACCTCACATTCGAAGAATTATCTGGTCTTAGTAATATGTAATGGTATTCGCGAGCTAGTTAGGGAAAGGTAGAAGGGACTTCTTATGCAGCTGATGGCAGAGAGTGGGTCGGAGATTACCCTAGGGTAAGCCTAGGATGAGATTAGCATGGGGAGCAGTAGTAGTATAAGGGACTCGGTGAAGTCAAGGCAATCCTTGAGAAAAGTACGGATAGATGTGGAAGGTAGTATGGGCCTGTACTACTGAAAGCAGAGGATCCGTACTCGATTCAAGGAGGGCTGAGATGAAACCAGGGAACTTGTAGTGCGTATGTGATCCCTCGGTATTGGAGGAGTATTCGGATGGTTGTTGTAGTATGTTTCCAGCATACTAAAAATGAGCTCAAACCACCCATGGCAATAACATCATCCCATGGGTCTTGAAATCCCATGGGTCTTAGTTGATCTTGATATCCACCCATTGCATTAACATCATCCGGTTCACTTCCAAGTGTGGGACACTTATCCATATAATGTCCCGTCATTGCACAAATACCACACACCATCAATTGTTGACCACTTCCCACCACCATTTGACTTAACACATTAGTCAAATCCAACAGCTTTGATTCCAAGTGTTGAGTGTTGCTAACTTCACCAACCACTTGTGGAGAATTTCTCTTCATTTCACTTCGAGCCCCAAAGTTCCTTTGATTTTGAGAAATGGTTCCAAAAAGTGATCTTATCTCTTGAGGTGTCTTGTTGAAGATGTCACCACCACTTGAAGCATCAATCATCCTTCGATCTTTTTCATTCATGGCCTCATAAAATTGTTGAAGAAGTAGT